TTTCATTTCAAAAGATTAAGACCCTAAATGCAAAAACAGATTTCCTTTGAAGCATTTTAAGAGACATTTTATCTTAAAAATTGTATAAAATTAACACTTTGACAACCACATTAAAACAAAAATAAAAGCATCTTCTGTGGGATTTATATTATTGCTGACATGCAAATCTATTCATATATTCAAGATATTTAAAAGTTAGATATTAAATGGTTAATTATGATTTAAATCACAATATAAAAAAGTCAAATACATTTTAAATGGTAAAGTTTCATTCTGATCGAAGACAATTAAACATTTTAGTCTTTACTGCTGATCATATGCACATTTCTTTACACCATTAAATGGTTAATTATGCATTTCAAAAGTTTAAATGGTTAAAGTCACATTATAAAAAATTTAAAACACATTTTAAAATTGTAAAGTTTCATTCTGATTAAATGAAAGGAAACATTTTTGCCTTTGCTGATAATATGCAATTTTTAAAGATATTAAATGGTTAATTATGTATTTAAAGATTATCACAATGCAAAAGAAATGTGTTGTATGTGCATTTAAAAATGTCAGAGTTTGCTTATTCACAATATTAATTTGTTAATTAAAAGAGCTTAAATGGTTAAAATCACAAAAAAGTTCAAAATACATTTAAAATTTTTCCTTTCCTTCAATCTAATTGAAACATTAAAATGTACAAATTAATTTAAAACCTTTTCTAATGTGATTTTAACCATTTAAACTCTTTAAATGCATAATCAACAATTTAATATCGGAAATACATTTGTAATCCAAATTAAACTTTACAATTTTACAATTTATTTTCAACTTTTTATAATGTGATTTTAACCATTTAAACTGTTTAAATACATAATTTAACCATGCAATATTATAAATAAATATACATATTATCAGCATTAAAGACTAAAATGTTTCCTTTCCTTTAATCAAAATGAAACTTTACAATTTTACAATTGATTTGTAACTTTTTCTAATGTGATTTTAAACTCTTTAAATACATAATTAATGCTGATAATATGCACATTTCTTTGCGATATTAAATGGTTAATTGTTTATTTAAAGAGTTAAATGGTTAAACTCACATGAGAAAAAGTTTCAAATCAATTTTAAAATGTAAAGTTTCATTCTGATTAAAGGAAAAATAACATTTTTACACGTAATCAGATTATGGAAACATATTATGGCTGT